AGGCTCATGGTCAGCGGTTTACTTGTCTCTGCTTTATAGCAGGCGGCGGATTCTGGCTTGAGCTTGACATCTGTTCAGTCCTTCCGTTATTAAGTCTACAGTTCTCAGTCCAAGTTCGACTCTGCTCCACAACTGATTCATTTCCCCAGTACATAGTTGCATATCTAACCCTAGCGTCTAATCAAGCTCGTCTCAAGCGGATATCGTGCCTTTGAGGAATCCCCGCTAGTTAACATGACTCTGCCTTACAGCAAACCACATAAGGCCATCCCTCACTATGTGATTGCGAAAAACCCTTGAAAGGGGGTCTGCGTCGTATCCATAATTCCGCCCAAGGCCATGTGCAACTACGACGCGTTGCAGGATCATTTGCTCAACATTTCCTTGCACACTTCCATCTGATCATCGACTCAAAGCACATATCCTGCCTTCGAGATCTTGCCCTTAGTTTACATGTGTTTGCCTTACAGCAAACCACCCCGGGCACCTCTGATTTTGCGGCAAAGTAGGCCGAGTCGGTCTCCGAGCCGGTCGTTTCAGGCAAGTTTTCACTTTTCACTCAGTGCGCGACTGCCACCCATCAAAGGTTCGTTTTCTCGATATTAATTTGCGTATCCACCAATGGCAGATATCCCACCGTCGCCTTCAGTCTGTTTCTCTGCTGCTGTGGGAAAGCTCTTGTGTCGTGCGCGGTCATCACAGAGGCGATGAGGTCGTCTTGCACTCTCTGTTACCTACGCTACTCGATTCGGTCGTCTCAGGAGAGGTCGTAAATCTCAGCGCGTGTTTGTTTGTCGCACTTGTGCCGCGAACGAGAACCGTTAAGAGGCGATTAATTAGTGGTTACTGCCGCGGTCAATAGTCGCACTACACTTGCCGCCGATCTTTGACTCTTGCCAAACTCCTGCTGCCTCGGCTGCGCACCGGTGCGCTTCAAAGCGATGGCCTCATGCAGGCCATCTGGTCGCGTCGCGTCGCGTTTCTCTTGACCGTTGCCGCCGTGTGACCTCAACGCTGACCGTCATTTGTTGCAGGCTGTGAACCGAGCTGCTTCGAACTGCAGCACTGATCGACACTCGCCGCCGTAGCGCCGAACACACAACATGTCCCCCGTGTCGTCTCTACTGTTGCTGGCCGCTGTCGCGCTGTTCGTCCAACAACCGGAGGCGTCGCCCTTGCTGTTCACTAGTAAGTAGCCTCTTGAAACTGAACCGCACAACGCACCCAAGAGGTAGTGTGTGATGCGCCGCTTCAGCCAATCTTACAATGACGCCTCAAGACATTAAAACGAGTCTTTCGAAAAGTCTCGAAGCCACATAAGCCCCCTGTTAAGCAAACGAAACTTCTCAGCAGCTAAGAAATAGTCTCGGCAGCTGTTCGATCATCTGGCGATCTTAGTCTTGACGAAAATTTAGCACGTAGCGAACTGTTTGTAAAGAGAGAATCTGTGTTACTGGACGGGTTATTATCGCCAGCTGTCATGAACCCTTCCTCTTGCTTCTTCTGTTCCTGTTCATCAATGCCTATGGTATCTTGAATATCCAGAATGTTATTATCCATTCAAATTTAATTCCTTCTTCCTGAATGGAATTTACGCTTATAAATTGAACTGACTTTTACGTGGCTATTAGGTGACTGAGGGCAAATTGTAGCCATGAGGTGTGCGCATCAGATGCCAGTGTCGCATGCGTCGTACGCTTTGGCATGACCACATCCATGCTGCCACTATTATTCGCAGGTCAACGACCTGCTGCCCTTTTTCGACACGCTGCACCTAAACATAATGGGAGGGGGAATTCTATTCTCAATACTTCATCTTCATCTTCATCTTCCATCGCCGCTTCTCCTTTCGGGTCGCGGAGGCAGACGCGTCAGA